TTACTTGGTGAAAGACAAAGACAAGTCACAGGTGCCACCGTCAAAGAAGAAGGATATGAAATCTAGAAGGAGACCACAGTCCTTTTGAGACCTCAGTCGTGATGATAAACAACAAAAGTCAAACGGCATAACAAGTCTAGAGATAATAGGTCATTCGCCCTCACAGGAAAATCCGGACAAGATTTTAAGGGACCCAAGAAGGGAACTTCGGCATAACTAGGCCAAGACAATGGAAGATATAGACGCAAGAATACAGCTTTCTCTGGGCAGTGGCACCGGACTGTGTCGGACAAGTGGTTCCTGGAGACGGTGGCCCATGGCTACGCACTAGAGTTTGAAAGAGTTCCAAGCAACGTTTCTTGGAGATCCCAAGGGAAAGATCACCAGGAAAAATCACAAGATGATGTTACAGGCCATCTAACATCTGTTGGACATTGGAGCGATAGAGATGGTGCCCGAGACAGAGAGGTCGCTAGGAATTTATTCCATCCCTTTACGATCTCCAAGGAGAACGGGAACACTGGGGCCATCTCGGACTTGAAGTGGCTCAACAAACATGTGCAATCATGAAAGTTCAAGATGGAGATGTTGAGGTCCATCTTTTTCCTCCATACATGCAGGGGACTTCATGGTCTCCATAGACCTGGAGGATGATCACAGGAAATTTCTAAGGTTTGCATATCACAGCAAACATTTCCGATATTGAGTCTCGCCCTCTGGACTCAAGTCCTTGCCTCGGATCTTCTCCAAGGTCCTGGGGACACTAGTGGCCTTCCTAAGTCTGAGAGGAGTGGTCCTGTTTTCCTTACTTGGAAGACATCCTGATCCAGGCAGAGTCCAGTCACCAGGCAAGCCTACACTTGGTCCTTACAATCCAAGTACTCCAGGGACACGGTTGTGCTATTAACAGGGAGAAGGGGACCCTGGAGCCGACTCAAGTAATTACACACTTAGGAGTGTGGATAGACACTAGACAGGACAGGGTTCTTCTGTTCCAGGAGAGGTTAGTAAAATTTCTCACTTTTCTTACATCAGGTCCTGAACATTTAGACACTGGAGGTGATGACCCTAGCATGTCTACTGGGCATGATGGTGTCGTGCCAAGACTTACTACCGTGGCCTAGAGTTCATACGAGACCCCTGCAGTACTTTCTTTCTTTGCTACCAGAAGGAAATAGACGAAAAGATAGTCAAGCAGGTAGAGTTACCACTGTCTGTGTGGACAGAGTTACAGTAGTGGCTAGTTCCGACTCGATTCACAGAAGGGATACTTCTAAGGGAACCCAGAGGACCGTGCTCATGATGGATGTAAGTCTCTTTGACTGGGGAGCGCATTCCATGGGACACATGGTCAAGACACCTGGTCAAAGTCGGAAACATCCAAGAGCATCAACTTCCTGGAACTTAGGGCCATAAAGTTGACCCTGGCTCGCCTCCAGACGCAACTGGTAGGCAGTCATGTTCTGGTTCAAATGGATAACATGATGGCAAAAGTCTGTATTAGCAGGTAGGGAGACACGCAATCCCAACGGCTACACCAGGAAGTGATGCAATGGGCAGAGAGTATGCGCTGTCCTTAAAGGACACACATATGGCAGGAAGAGAAATGTGTTAACAGAGGGACGCCTTCCAACAGATCAGCGAAGATTCTGAAGGCAGAGCTGGATCCTTTCATGTTGAGACATGAAAGGGGCACTAGGAATGGACACCCTGTTCCTAGCATGGCCAAGAACTCTACTCTATGCCTTGCCGCTCCTAACTCTAATTCCCAGAGTGGTACAGCAGGTGATAGATTAAAGAGAAGATGTGATTCTGTTAGCGCCCTTCTGGCCACAGAGGGTGTGGTTCCAGGACCTCATGAGCATCTCCAGAAGGGATCGATGGCGGCTGCCTCTCAGACGGGACCTTCTATCTCAGGAGATGACCGTTCATCTGTGACCGGACATGCTACAGCTTGCAGCGTGGAGGTTGAGAGGAGACAGTGAGCAGCTCTGGGATAGGAGACAGAGGTGGTTTCCACGTTCTTGGCATCCAGGAAATCTCCTATGATCAAATATGACAGATCTTGACAAACATCTTCTAACTGGTGCGGAGCGCAGGGGTTGGAATCGAAGCGGGCACAGGTTGGGGATGGCGTTCTCCAACAGGGTCCGAGTAAAGGGTTGAGTACTAGTTCTCTAAGGCAACAGGTAACGACTTTTTCTGCGGTTGGAGGGGCTAGGAAAGGTAGGTCTTTTCCCCATCACCTGCACATATGGCATTTTTTTGAGGGGGGCCTCCCTCCTCAATCCACCACAGGTACATAGGTTCTCCGCATGGAACTTAAATGCAGTGCTATGAGCACTATGCAAGGAGCCATTTGAACTAATGGCATCATGTCCCATGAAAGACATTACTCTGTAAACAATTTCTTAGTGGGGATCTTTTCAGAGCGTAGGTTTGGAGCTGAGAGCTTTGTCGGTACACACAGATTTATGTACCTTCTGCAATGACAGGGTCGTCCTCAGACCAGCCCCAGCATTCATCCCCAAAGTTACCTTCTGGTTCCATAGATCGGAGGATATGGTACTTCCCTCCTTTCTTCAAACCCTGCCCATGAGATGGTGATGGTCTGGCATCGTCTAGACGTTTGAGTTTTCTAAATGGCTTTGATTTTTCTATATGGACAGGGCCGGGGGTTGAGAAAGACTGAGTCCTTGTTCGTGTATGTTAGTTGTCCCTGGGAAAGAGCGTCTCCAGGAGTGTCTCCAGTTCTGCCCTGAGCAGGTGGATAAGGATCAGTCAGGCATACAAGGTGTAGGGGTTGGTACCTCCAGCAGGGGTCACAGGGCACTCTACGGGGGCAGTCACATCAGCAGCATATAGGGCCTTGCTAGAAGTCACTTGTAAGGTGGTGAGATGGAAGTTTGTGCATTCCTTTACAAAGCACTGTAGGATTGACAAACTAGCTTCGGCAGAAGCAGCATTTGACAGGAGAGTGTTACTTCGGGCCCTGTATGCACCGGAAGTCGTGTGACCCATGCGGGGGGAGCACTGCTTTTTTGTGTCCCAGGAGTAAGGAGTCAAGGACTGCCCCACTCCTGGACCACCAGAGAATGGAAGATTTGTATTCACTTACCGTGAAGCTTCCTTCTCAGTGGTCCAGAGTGGGGCAGCCCTACCCACCCTCTCTTAATGGACATGACTTCCGGTCCTTCGGGACCTGGAGTTGGACATGAGGTTTTACAGTGGTTCAGTTGTTCATGAACATGGTCTAGCTGATTACATGATGTGGTGGACTGTTGTTGTTTGTTTTCTCTAATGGTTAAAATACAGGTTTGTCTTTGTTTAAGCGCATGGCTGTGATGGTATTCCCCAGTTGTCTGAGGGGGAAGGAGTTAGTTTTTAAGTGAATTTACAGCAGCTCGGAGGTGGCTTTCGGTATGACTGGGGATCAGAGGATAAGCCTCTCCCCTCTGGGATCAAAGTTTGCTGGCCCTGCCTACGGAAGGGGAAGGTGCTTTCCCAGGAGTAAGGAGTCAAGGTCTGCCCCACTCTGGACCACCGAGAAGGAAGCTTCACGGTAAGTGAATACAAATCTTCCATTTACTTTATAATGGAAATATTAGATGGGTTTCATACATTTAAATGCCAATCTGCATTTCCCTGTCTGAAAATACAGGACTAAGGCCTTTTTCTTCCTCTGTTCTCCCCACATCCACACCCAGGTGGTATGCTCACATGGTTTTCTGTAATCTAAAGTACAGTTTGCAGCTGAACTGGCCATAGAAATTGCTGCCATATTATTCTGTGAGTGGCTCGCTCTAGTGTTACAGGGTATATGTAAACTGACCACTCGCATGCGTTGTGAAGAGCAAAAAGGGTAGTCCAAGCGCAATTGCAAATAAATAGATGCATCAGGTTAGTGTTACAGTTTCTCATAAAGAGTTGGTTTTATCTGTTGAGAGATTAGCTGGGCTCTCATGTCAGTGATGTGATGCAATCTAGGAGATCTGACTTTTAAAAAAAAAAGACTCTGTATGCATTAGCCTGAATTTAAATCGGGCATTTTTTTTTTGCAAAACATTTAATCCCTGGTTAGCATTTTGAAGGGCTGTGCTAACCAGGGCAAAACTGTTTGCCTCCTTTGAAATGTTAACTGACCCCCATAGAGCAGTGGGTAGCAGAATTTGCTCATCTTCGCTTGTGGAGAGCTACTGGATTACCATTTTGTCATGAGCAGTGCCTGCAGAGCTCGCTGGGTTATGTGCACTGACCTTTATTCACAGTGGCAACATGTGGAGCGATGAGGAGGGAGCCTCTGGACTGCTTTGTACTTGGTGCATGGCTTCCTGTAAGGACAGAGCTTCTAAAACATGTTCAGAGGAAGTCTTCTCAAGTTAAAAATACGTAACATTTCTGCCTCCAGGGCAAGGGTAAACCAATGGAAAAGGGGAAGGAAGCAGGAACACTGAAGTTATTGATGTACTTGAACGTCTTCAAAGAGAGCAAGCAATAGGCAGTTGCTCCATTTGGTTTAAAGCATTGAGCTGGGAGGTTCTAGGAGGAGTTTGTGCTTCCTGATAGACTGCAAGTTCAACTTTGGTGATATGACATGAAAGTGGCTGCAGCCATCATAAATTAAATAGCGCATGCTGAGTGAGTGGAGTGGAGAAAATTGAGGGATAAATATGGGTGTTTCTCCTCAGTTTATATTCTCCAGTGTTTCAATAGAACAGGAGTGCAATAGGGTTTGGGATTTTGTATATGTGATTCCAGGTCTATGTGGGATACTCGGAATTAAGTATTGCTTGTGTATGTACATTTATCAGTGTGCTTTCTGATGTGTATATTTGTGCTAACTGGCTATATAGTATTCTAGAGTGTTCAGTGTTCGTAACAAATGCCTAGTAAAGGTTCTGTGATGGAGAATATTGCTTGTATTACTTCACATACATTCAGTAAAAACCATGTAGTTAATTCCTAACATTGACACACACACACATATGTGTGTATTTCAGAATCTAAACACAAAGAGACGCTACTCCATCTTGCAATGAGACTGGGTTTGGTTGAGCTTTCGCAGTTCCTATTATCTCTCCCGGGTGGGACAGATGCAGTCATTCTACCTAATGAAGATGGGTCCACACCTTTGGATTTGGCCTTACAGAATGGACACTCCAGTCTTGTTGAAATAATCACCAAGTAAGTAGTGTGACTTAAGAGCACAGTCCAATGGCTGCTTCCCCCCCCCTTTTTTTGTAGTGCTGTGTTAGTTAATTGGATTTCTCCACTGTGGGTGTTGAAGCAGCATCACCTTCTAAGAGTAGAATGCTGTTTATCTCAAAAGACCATATGCTGATCATTCGCTTATACCCCAATAATACTCATACTTGAACTACCAGTTTGGTGCAGTGGTTAAGAGCAACAGACTCTAATCTGGAGAACTGGGTTTGATTCCCCACTCCTCCACATGCAGTCAGCTGGGTGACCTTGGGTCACAGTTCTCTCAGAGCTGTTCTCTCAAGAGCAGTTCTCTCAGAGCTCTCACAGCCCCACCTACCTCACAGTGTGTGTTTTGTGGGGGGAGGAAGGGAAGGAGATTGCAAGCCGCTCTCCTCTTCCTCCTCTTTTCTTATGAAGTCTTCCTATGTCAAGGCCTTGATGCAAATAATAGTATAATAAAACAATATGGGGAGATCGGTCCCTATCCTGTTCACAATCTAATGTGATGTGTTCACAAACTTTGATTATCTTGTTCACAAAATAGCAGGCCAGCCAAAGAAGAAAACTGAAAAGAGAGACAGATAAACATCCATATAATCTGAGAAAAGCATTGGTTCACATCTGTTTTCACACGTATTCCTACAGGAAATTCAGAGTCATGCAAAATTGGGACTTTATTATTTATTTACTGTATCTATATCCCACCTTTTCCCCTAGTGGGGATTCAAGGTGGCTTAATTTTCCTCTCCTCCATTTTATCTTTGCAACAACCCTGTGAGGTAGGTTAGGCTGTGAGGCTGTGACTGGCCCAAGGTCACCCAGCAAGGTCCATGGCAGAATGGAGACTTAGACTTGTTTCTCCCAGATCCTGGTCTGACATCAACCCCTCCACCACGCTGACTCACTTTCTCTCTGGTTGAGCTGGATTCTCCAATTGTATGACTTGCTTTTGGTTAACTTTGTCTCCCTTGGTTTCTTCTTCTCCTTTTGTATCCTCAACCTGTTGGTAAATCAGCCACTTCTTTTTCACTTCTTGCTTGGTTTATTTTATCCCAGTTTTTGGACTCTCTGATCTCCCCTTCAAAGAGCTTTCTTGTCTGGGGCACTTCAGCCACTCTGCTGACCAAACTCTGTGGCCTGTTTGTTCCACACAAGGCAGTTTATCTTTCAAGGCACTTGATATTCTGTCTCTTATGTTGATGGACCTGAGCTTTGTGAGTTGCATTGTGGCAGATCATTTGAATCACACCACCTATTTGTATTTGCTCTTTTTTGCTAAATAGTCATAATACACTGCCAGGACGGTCTCCAGAAGAGAAAGAAAAGCAATCAAAAGAGAATCAAGATAAATAATTTACTAAAAATATTGGGTTTTTTTTAATTTGGAATCTACTGCCCTTTTGTTTATGACTTTACATAACATACAGTTTGTGTGAAATTATGCATGCAAATGAGGAAATGACTCAATAACTCTGTTATCACACATGTTATGAATGTCTCGCTTGTTTGGAACATTCAAACAATGCAACATTCCCTTGAGATGGTCTGTTTTGCACTGCAATATGCTAATAAGCTTGCTAGCTGCCAGTTTAGTTAGGCTTCTGTTATGTGGCAATGTTCATGATAAAATGGGCTGCTTCTCTTTACAACTAACAGGCAAAACTAGGTGTAGCTGTTAGATTCCTTTTGAAAATACGATTTCCCTCCCTACTTTGACTTGTGGATTCTTGGGAAACAGTTTTTCCAGCTGTGCTTTTCATTTCATGCTATTTTTGCCTGAGATCCTTGCAGTAGGAAGGTTAGAATTTGAAATGGTAAAACTCGGTGAAAGTGAGGAGTTGCATACTTTTGTTTTGTGATTCCCTGTCCTCTGCACTCTTCCTCTGATGTCCTGACTGTGTGTTTTAGAGCACAGGTCAGCCATCCATTTGAGATATCACAAGCGGAGCTTGGCGAGAATGCTGTCCTACAATTTGTGCATTCATCAGGATCTCTGATGCTGACATTTAATCATACCACAGACCATTCACTAGAATCCGACATCCAACTCTTCAGGAAATACCTCTGGGACAGAGCTTTTCTTCACAAGGTAAGTGCCCAAACTGTTGCAACACTGAGCAGTATCTTTTCAGTGAGATTTTTTCATCTGTTTATTATTCTCATGTGATAGTTAAGTTGTTCTGTTCTTTAGATGAAAATGTTCAGAAAATAGAGTTTTTGTTCTCTCTGTGTTGTATTTCTTACTCTAGCAGCTTCATTCCTGGCAGGGGGTGTGTAGCACATGAAAGCAGGATGTAAACCAACAAACAACAGTTTTGTGTTTACAGTTTTACTTAAAGGACAAATCAGTCCTATCCCTTGATATGATTTCTCCTGATTTATCATTCTTGCTATGCTTGCTGTAAAGCTGCTGAGCTCTGCTGCCTGTTTCTGGGAGGTGTAGCTATTTAAAGTTGTATCGATGCTGTTGTACAGCAGCTCAAGTCCTGTGTCAATATTCTGGGGGATGTTTAGGAAAAGCACAGGGGCGGATGCCTCTTTCCCTTTCACTGTTGCTGCTGGAAACATCTTCTCTTCCATCCTGCATTGGGGAAACTTTCCTCCTGTTGTTTCTTTGTCTGGTTCAGGAGTTTAGAATAGAAGCAAAAAAACCCTAGACTTAAAAGAAAACCATTTAATTTAGATCAGTCACACTTATAGGGCAATTAGGTACTTGGGGCAGCATGTATGGTTGAGGCAAAAGGAGGTGGGCTATGCCTGGCCCAGCAATATGGCTTCTATGGCGCAGTTCAAGGGCATTAGTAGGAAATGTCTAGAGGAGTACATCATACACAGAATAAACAGGATTTCCTGGGCAGACAAGCAGTAGAGGTTGTTCAGAATGTGGAATAAAAACTATAAACAGATGTTCCTGAAACTGCTGAAGACTAGACGTCAAAAGGACTGGGACAAATTAACTGCTAAGGCCTTCACCTCATGTCAGTCATTTCTCCAGATGGATGGCCATGTTTGCCTGTTGTAGCAGTATTAAACCAAACTCCCACAGCATCCTAAAGACTAACCAAATTTATTTTAACACAAACTCCCCCTGCCACCATTGGTCACGATCCCTGCTTTGCCCTGTTCACATGTTAAATTAAATTAAATTAAATGTGTGTGTACACAGGTTATTTTATGTGTACGTGTGTTGGGTGATTCTGTCTATGCATGCTGATCTTATTTTTTCACATATTCAGTGCATCTAATGATGCATGCAGCTATAAAGCTAGTTGTCAAATAGTGTCCTAGTCAGCATCACACTGGAGACAGGAAATGTACATGTAGGAAATGTTGCAAAAGGTAAGGCTCACTCAGGTGTGCCTGGTAGAAAAACTACATTCTTAGGGCTAATTGTATTCACACACGGTGTGACAGACTGCACTTTTTAAAAGCTTAGAAGTGCTGTACAAACAGCAAAAGGAGAACCAGAAAGCCTTGAGTGACAGGCTGTTCCAAGAGATCTGATTGGTTAGCATCAGCTGAGCAGAGTCTGATTTCAGCCCAGTTCAGTCTGATTTCAGCCCTAGCTGAAAAGAGTAGAGTACTGACAGTTTCGGAATTCAGCCTTAGCTGAGAGCAGTTTAACACAGACAGAGAACTGGGAGAAAGTTGGCAAGGAAGTTTGGGAAGTAGGCAAAGACTCCCTTTTGGGCTAAGGAAAGGGGATAGATCTAGAAAGAGAATTCCCTGCCCAGTCAAGCAGGCTCTGAAGAGTGCAGAGATCCCTGGTCTGGTGTAGTTAGAAACTGCCTGTAGAAACCTTAAAAGTCAGTTAAAAATTCGAGTACTGGAAGGGTTTGGGTACTGG